GGGGGGTAATTTCTTTCTTATATCTTCTAGAATTGCTGAAAATGTTAAATAAAATGTTCTTTTTGCTCATTACAGTATCACCGATTGTAATTGAGTGCATTCATTTTATAATTTGAGACAAAACTGATGCGTTTGACCTAATTTGGCGGATACATGGTTAGAGTAGGACAGCGACGTTCTGCTTATCTTGTATTATGTTGCTGTGGAGAGGAAGGTTGTGCTTTATTCGGGGTGTCCATTGGGGGATCGGGTCTGGACGGTTTGCTAGCCAGATTGAGGGCGCAAAGCGGCTATCATTGCACTGGCCGATCGTGCCCGACTCGTCGCCTCAAAAACAGACGCGTTTGTTTTCAGGCGACGAGTCGGGCGATCGCCCCCGACCCAACCCGACCCAGCCCAACCCGATCTCATCCGCAATGAGCCCCCACCCCGTGTTGCTGTGAAAAGTGAAACGTTTTGTGTCGGTTGAAGCAGTGCCTGCCACCGACCAGGGCGATTTGGTGATTGTGCCTGGTAATGGGATCACCGGGGATCAGTGACAGGTGTTGTTTTTAGTTTTAGTAGAGGTTTTACGGCACTCACAACTACATAAGGTCGTATGAGCGCCAGAAGATTAGAAGTGTTACAAGAAAGTAACAAACATAAAAAAGAAGAAAGGGAGATAAGGACGACAGATGTTTGATAGGAAAGAAGGAGCAAACCACACCAGAGCACCCGCCAACCACCCACCAGGTGTTGTTCAAGGAAGTGGTTATTCTCACCCCGGGTTAAAATAACCTATGTCTCGTGATTCTCACCCCCTCCCTTGTTTTACCGGAAATGACCCAAGAGGGATCAGGGCTGAGGTTTCCGGGGCTAATGCTCCGCAGGATGTTGTTGGTGTCCGAATAGACGTACATCTAGATCTAGTCACAGTCAGGGTTGTCAAATTGGAGCCAAATCCCAGAAATTGTAATTTTTTTTAAAAACGATCTAAAATATCTCGATATGGGTTTAGAACTTCTGCCATTTCAGTTGCGTCCAGTTGTTTGAGAGCATCGAGCCTAACTGCTGCTACCCTTTTCCATTAAATTCCTCGGGACAGGTAGGAAAGATGATTGGAGGCAAAGCGAAGGAGGGAGAGTGGGAAAGAAAGAGAGAGAGGGGGGGGGGGGTAGCTGCAGAGTTAAGTAAATGGGATAGCGGGTGAGTAAACCAGGCGATGTCGGTTCTAACGTCTGTGAACGTGCATGTCGTCGTTGATTGCGAGTTTAATTAACGAGGGCCGTGCTTCTCTGGGGAGTAAGTCCTGCCCGGCGAGAGCTGGGCGAAGAGTCGATTCCTGAACCGGTTCCTGAACCGATTCCCACGATTAGTACTACAGAAAGTCCGTCTCCTTTTTACGTATACCAACGGTTGCGATTAACTTTTATCACTAAAATATTTTCTTCATTTTTTAAAATAATTTTTCGAAAAATAGAAGTTGATGCTTCGTAGTGATTCAAAAGCAAGGTTATCCCAAATCCTGAAGATGTTCGGAGCCAACCAGGTAACCACCGGGGGGAAAAAATCACAAAATGATAATGTAAGTAATTGGGTTCGGAGTCGATTCCTAGCTTTCAATAATCGGGAACCACGGCGCCCGGCACACATGATGGCCATCACATGACGGCTCCGGCAAATATTTGGCAGGCGGGGCTCTGGTCAGACTTAATAAACCACTTGGCTCCACCCACGGCTGCGACTCGTTGAGTGCCTGTTTGCGTGCGTGTGTGTGTGCGTGCGTGTGTGTGTGTGTACGCGTGTGTGTGTGTGTGTTTGCGTGCGTGTGTGTGTGTGTGTGTGTGTGCGTGTGTTTGCGCGCGCGCGTGTGTGTGCGTGCGTTTATGCCTGTGTATGTGTGTGAGTGTGTGTGTGCGCGTTTGTGTGTGTGTGTGTGTGCGTGTGTGTCAGTGTGTGTTTATTTGAGGGTGTGCTTGTATTGTATGCATGTATATGCGTGCATGAGGGCGTGCGTGCTGACGGACTGACGGGTGTATGCTCATCGATAGGCCCAGCCTCATGACGGCCTTCACCCACATAATATGGCGGACGCCGGTTGTTGGCAGCGGTCGTTTACGCTGTCTGCACGTGCTGTGAGCAGACGGGAGAGCATGGCATGTGGTTTGGGTTAGCGCGTGCATCGCGACTTTCTGGACATCTGGGGAGGGTGGGCGGTTGGGAGGTGTGTGTCGCATGAACCTCAGTATCAATTCCATGGCTTCACCAAGCTGTACTTTTTTTTTTTTTTTTTTGTAACCAAAGCAGCTCCTTTAATCTTCGGCACATTGACTCCCAAGAATTACAAAGTTCCATCTGCTCAATACATGTACCTAGTTTTGAGAAATCTGACGTCAAAGATTTTGAGTGGCACATGTCTAGCGTTTTTAAAATGAAATTCATTAAATATCTTGATAACGACTGCAAATAATCTTACGATTTTGATAGAGCATAATTATTATAGAACATTTGACGGAGACAATCAGCCTGCCCACACTGAAATGGACCTTCATGAAGAGGGGCGAGGAAGCATGGAGCATCCCGTCTTCCAAAGACCCCAGTTCTAGATTCAAGTAATTCAAGTATAGAACATTTGGTTTCTGACCTCATGGTCCTAGTAACTCAAAATGGGCAAGAATGTCAGATAGAAAAAAACTGTGTGTGGCGGTCTAGGCCGTGATGAGCACTTTCAGTGTCCTCGGTCTGACCGTGGGAAAGACAAAGATTACCTCCCTGGGCAACTACCCCTCAATAAATTACTTTGCTTGTATATTTTTTTTATCTCCTCATGCCGTAGTCTTTTCTGGAGGTCACTGTAGACTCTGGATGACGCCACTGATAGGTCCTACTTCTTGTCTGTCTGTCTTTCTATATGTGTGTGTGTGTGTGTGTGTGTGTGTGTCTGTCTGTCTGTCTGTCTGTCTGTCTGTCTGTCTGTCTATCTCTCTGTCTATGTAGGTGGTTGGCGGTGCTCTGGTGTGGTTTGCTCCATCTTTCCTTTCAAACATCTATCGTCCATATCTCACCTTCTTCTTTTTTTTTGTGATTGCTACTCCCTTGTGGCACTTAATCTATTGTTTGGCACGTATTTTGCCTTATAGTGTTGCACGTGCTGTAAAACTCTTACTAAAAATAAAAATAAATGTGTCTGTCTGTCTGTCTGTCTGTCTGTCTGTCTGTCTGTCTGTCTGTCTGTCTGTCTTGCGTTTCCCCTGCACTAAGTGTCTGTTATCGTGTGGACGTGCCTGTGTTTACTGAGGCTCAAACTCGTGTCGCTGTAGCTATGATAGTCTGACCCGTAGCAGGTCCGGGGAGATAGGAACAGTCCACAGTGCCACTTATTGTTGGTTCAGTAGCCTGCACTGGCAATAGGGTGGAGGGAAATTACAATTTTTGATCCAGAACAAATACGACAGGTGGCGTCTGTCGTCCAGTGGTTGTACCGGGTGGCCATTGCGGGTGGGGATCGGGTCGGGTCCGGTCGGGTCGAACGCCCGACTCGTCGCCTCAAAACAACTCTGTTCACCTCTCTAGCTTCAACAGCACAAAGTCTGCTTCGACTATCAAGGCACCCTGGAAATAACGGGTCACAAGAGTGTGACAAACAGGCAAAAGAAATAGAGGAAAAATGACGATAGTAAGGATGAAGAAAGAAAAAGCTGCAGTTCCCTGTTGTAGTTCGGGCACCGTTATGAGCATGACATGGTTGAATCAGCCCATTTACAATTCTATAACTGTGCATAAGAACAGGTTAATGTCCCCCCTTTTGGAATGGCGTAAAGACACTTCAGTCAGTGGCACCGCCCCGGGGGGTGGTCCGACGTTGTGTTCGTGGAAAAGACACTTCAGTTTAGTAAGGGTTTTACAGCACTTGCAACACTATGGGTCATATAAGTGTCGAAGATTAGAGGTGTTTCAAAAGAGTAACAAACACAAAAAGGAGGAGGGGAGGTTAGGATGATAGACGTTGGATAGGAAAGAAGGAGCAAACCACGCCAAAGCACCGGCCAACCACCCACAAAGTCACTT